CTCTTTGTGACCCTGCCTTTCAGCCTCTCTCAGCATCAATGGCACAAGCAAACATGGAGGCAGATACACAATCACCTCTGAAGACACACAAGAGATTGTATGTGTATATAATAACAAGCACAACAAATAACCTAAATATCTAATCATATTGGTGAGGTTCCCGTTGGACATGAGCTGTTGACACTCTTGACATCACCAGCTGAGCCACAGGTGGAAATTCTAACTAAAATCTGACTCACTACTGCACATTGAGAATTAACCGTCTGTTATGGATAAAATATGTGAGCACATCACAGAAACGCCAAACAAATGTGTGCACATCTACATGTGCTGGCTTCTCTGCTCAAAAATATGCATTAAATCTGTAACTATGCGATATCACACTGGCATCTATAACCAGAATGGAAGTGTTCTGTGAAAGACACTTTTCACTTTTTCCTCGAGCATAGGAGTTTAAATATGTTTTGAACTTGTTCATAAGTGATGGCAAAATAGAGTCTGTGATCTGTGGTGAAGAAAGAGCTGTGATAAAAAGATAAAAATAATAAAAAAAGAATGTCTAGATTTACTGATTTTTATTCATGCCTTTGCTCATAAGATATTGATCAATACTGAAACAGAATTTTGGATAGCAGCAGCTAAAAGTAGCGTCCTCAAAAGATGACTGGACTCAGCTGAAAATCATCTGGAGGGAGCCCAGAATGCAACTACTGTCATCAAGAGAAATCAGCGAATGTGCTTGGACATTTGATCAGTACGTCTTCCGTTGGCGTTCTTTAAGTGTCATTGTGTATACAAAGGAAAACTTAGGGCAGAATCAGAACTCAAATAATGGAGTTCTATTCCTTTTGGCTTGAGGTTTCTTGGGCTTCCTGGAGCAAACTGAGGAGTGCCACTGCATATGGAGAAGGCTATCTAAATTTTTCTCCAAAATGTGTTGTTCTTTCAAAAATATAAGAACATTTTCAATTTCAGAGCAAGATTTCTTGTTTTAACTTTTCCATAAGTTTCCTTCTGCATGCCAAATAAGTAAAAAATAAATCTTACTCGCTTATAAATAAGGCCTGCTTCTCCTCAAAACAATGTTTCTACAGACAAATTTAATGCCTCCTTGGAGTTAGGCTTTCTCCGTGAGTAAAATGTACGTACTCAGTTTTGTTCTCTCTTCTCATTGACATTTGCATTTTTTGAGCAGAAGAGAAATGCCCAAAGAAGGAAGTGATGCCAAGGCAACACTATTATTAAACTGAATGGAGCTGTTATCAGATTATAATTTATTTCTAAGAGAGAGCAAAGTAAATCTAAAATACCTAAGAAAATTACATCTTTAGGAAAACAGCAAGAGATGCAGGATTAAAACAGAAGCGGAAGACCTTAGCGCACAAGCAATTGAAACTTGAGGATAGCCTATCAATAAGAATGCTATTGAGATACCAAAGTTTGATCAAGGGATCTACAATATAGGAATCAATCTTCCTACCTGGAAATGTAGGCTCTTATTATTTTGGGAGAAAGAAAATATTTAATATTAATGGATGAATGGATGACTAAGTGAAAGAATGCTATATGAAAAAAAAAACCTGGAAATACATTTGTCAAAGTTTTAATTTTGGACACCCTGGAAAGAACTTTTACCTTATTCAATAGACTTAGACAATGAATACACAACCATTTCTGTAATTCCTGTTGAGCAAGATATGGAGACTTACTCGCATAAAATAAACTCAGAAATGAAATGCTGACGTAAAGAAATAAGCAAAAGTAAACCTAACGTTGATAAAACACCCAGTGGCTAAAGCCTTTAAAATAATTAACACAGTCCACCTTAGTAAGACCAGTGCAGTTCAAGTATTGTTTTGTAAGCCTAATTAATCATGACTTTGGTGAGCAGCCAACAGAGAGGGAGGACAGCCTCCTTCTGTCTTAAACTCCATAACACTGCTCTGGAGTGAACCCACATCCAGGGTTAACACAATTACCAGCATGTCCTCCCAACCATGATCCAGCATCACACTGCAGGCAATGTAATTGGTGTGCCCAGAATTGCAGACAAAAATTAGAAATCAGCAGAGGGAGAGGGGTGATTAATTTGCTTGAGGAGGCCGTTGGTAACTATGTAAATCACTGGCTGTCACTGCAATTTAATTTGCTTATTCTGTTGTCCTTGTGTAAAATGTAAGTCTTGCCCACAGACTGGTTAAAGCATCAGGTCATAACCACAGAGTCTGGAAAGTGAAGGGCATAAGATACATGCAGCTTAATTACAAAATAGGACCACAACATCCTGCGGTGCTTGTGCCACGTGTGCTGTTTGTCTTCTCCAAAGATTTCTAGGCACACTGGATCAGAAATGTGCAGATATGAAAGTCTGTCTTTTGTAATAATTTAATTTGTTTAAAGGCAAGTGGATAGAAGACTCCAGCGGGTTGTGGCATGTGGAGCTCCTCTCTTGCATCGAAGTGGAGTTGTATTTAAATACTGATTTGACTTATTGAAAGCAGTACGCTGAAAACCTCCCCCTCACCTCACCAAAAACCTTCAGTGCCCTACTATCAGACAGCTCTCTCGGTCAGATAATCCCTTTGAGGAGACTTTGTAGAGTCTTGCATTAACAAACATCAAAACACTGGCCACAATCTATGACCCAACCCTTTTGAGTCCTTTTATATTAGCCAGCTTATTCAGCTTTGTTGCTAAATAATACCCATTCAGCAAGGTTTAGCCACAGGGTTCAAGCACACAGCATACTATTCCTAGGGAGCAATTAGCTCTCAGACACCCGAATGTAAGGTCAGATCTCCTCTGGCTTTGACGACGCTGATCGGCTAATATAATGGTGTTTGACATTCACTTTAAAAATACAAAAGTTACTTCTAAACCAAATAGTTTTTGCCTAATACCATTAAGAAGGTGAGAAATACAAAAGAAATCTCTGTTTTGTATTTTTGTTTTTGCTTATTTTAAAAAATATATATATTTAGATGAGGACAGCTTATTTAGAAGGTTTCTTTTTTACCTTTGTGGTGCTAACTTACAGGCATTCACAGTGGTTTTGATCCCAAGGTTTGCAGGCATTGTAATATCTCTGATGTTCGTCCTAAAATATACCTTTATAGATAATATATTCAGATTGCATTCATATTTATTCATAATATATAAGACCCTGCCACTGAGCTGCAATCTTCTGTTGTACACTATGAAGCAATTGCAAAAGAGGAACCCCCTTGGCAGTTCTGTAAAACAAGTTAAACTTTCCGCTCTCAGGCAACTTTGTTAGAAACGAGTGTGTGAGGCCACTGGAGGCTGTCAGCACAAAATAAAGAATGGGGCAGGTGAAATACAGGACACGGCTGAAAGAAAACAAGAGATGTTAGAAATAAATATGAGATTTTAAATCCACCTCTAGCATAAAAAGAGTTCAGAATAAAAGGAATCCACTCTTAGCTCACAATAATGATAAAAGAAAAAAAACAAAAAACATATTTCCATTTTCCTACATTTTACCTCATTTAAAAGAATAATTGTGGTCTCAGCGATAACATTTAGGAACACAGTGTGTTTTAGAGTCATAAAAACATCTGACATGATGTAGGAGATGCATTTTCAGAGATTATCCCAGTAGTGTTTGACCTCTTAACCTTGTTTGTCTAGACAACCTAATTCAATTTATTTAGAATCAAATTCAGTTTATGTATGAGATGAAAACACCTTCACATAAAGTGGATTTCTTTTCAGGAGTTTTCACATTTTGCCATTTCTGCAGTTGGTTCAATGTCTCAAACATTGCTGTGACAGAAACAATATATCGGTAGAAAGCAAGCTCACATTATTAAAGTCTGTATATCAGCAAAATTGTCATTATTTTTTTACTAAAGTGGAAATATTACAAACCGAGCAATTTCAATATTTTTTTTAATAAAATGAATGTAGTTATTTCCAGCAAGGTCTCCACCATCACCAGACAGTTGTGTTGTGGTAAAAGTAGAAAATTTTAAATATATTAAATGCCAAAATATCCATCTTGACATATTTCAGTCATAAAGATGGTTGTGAAATAAAAGTAAAATAGGAAGTATTATTTTTTGCATTACTGCCTTAGTAGTTTTTAAGTATTTTAAGCATTCTTCTTTTGAATGTTATTGTGTAACTTTACACTTGTGAAGTGTCTCAGATCTATTTAAAACTATAGCAAATGGAAACATGTGTGCCACAAGCAGTAAACAATGTAATTTGTAACAAAAGACTTAAGCAGATTCAATGAGGTGACAGTGGATACACAGTCATAGTGAGAGCCCCACACAAACACACTTTTGCATATATTCTGAAGCACGCAGACACTCAAAGCCACCCACACAACCTGAGGCGAGCGTGTTGTCCTAATGACCTGGCCCTGTGTGTTTGTGAGGGTGTAAAAGTGTGTTTTGAATTAGGAAGAGGAGAGGCAGAAGATGAACTAACGATGGCTGCTAATAATTACAGATCTGTAGCGTAGAGGAGTTAATGAGGAGCCAAAGCCTCCCATGATGCCCCAGTAATAATGAATGAGGAGGGAGAGAGAGGGATGAGGAAGCGAAAGAGACAGAGAAAGAGGTAGGAGATGTCATTTCGAGAGGCTGCAGTGCCCTTTGGTTTCTCTGCTCTTTGGGCATGCCAACAAGAGAGTAGCTTTCCCAGAGGAGGCTTGTCTCCACGCTAATGAAGATGTGACAGTCCTCCAGTCCATGACTTGCGGCGTAGCGCAAAAAGCAGAGAAGTGGGCTTAAGAAAAAAAAGAGTGACAGTTCTAAAATGAATGACGCTGAAAAGGTGAAGGGGCTTCAAAAAAGAATGAGATATTGTCAAAGTCGAAAGTTGACTGACATGGTTTGAAGGGTGTTTTTAAATTGCTGTATATCAGTAAAATGAATGCATGGAGACTTTAAATTATAACTACTAGATTAGTCAAGGGGGATTACCCAATGCACAGAAGCGAAACAAAGGAGAGAATTAAAAATACTCACCAGAGAGCTGGTGTAGCTGGGATCTGACGTGTCCTCCTGCAGATAGCGTGACAGGCCAAAGTCGGAAACTTTGCACACCAAGTTGCTGTTGACGAGGATGTTTCGTGCAGCCAAGTCACGATGGACGTAATTCATTTCTGAGAGGTATTTCATCCCTGCTGATATCCCACGAAGCATTCCCACCAACTGGATCACTGTAAACTGACCGTCATTTTGCTGGAGAGCAGGGATGAAAGTAAAAGTCAGTCATTCATTAGTTGCTATCATCACAAGGGTTGACTCACAGTCACAAGATGCTTTCAACTGCAATAAACGAATTTAAAATACAGTGGCTCTCTAAGCAGAACATTCCGATTCTGTGTAATTTTGGCTGAGCTTTAAAATCTGATTATTATTTGTAAGTGAAGTGTTTTTAACATTAGGTAGAACTTAGAGACTACTAACCAAAGAGGTAGCAACAGTAATAGTAAGTGCCTTCTAAGAAGTCAACAACTTGAAACTCAACTAGTATTTGCGGTTTCCATTATGGACAAGCTAGATGTAACCAGGATAAGATGAGGCAAAGATTGAGGTAATCGGCCATGACGACAAAAGTATGTTTGGAGGACTTAAAGTGACTATTTCTAAACTTGTAAATACAAAATCAACCACCATGTTGGTTTCACTGCAAATGAGGGCAGAATAGTAAATGGTCTGAACTTAGACATACTGACCACTCAATGGTCCCTTCAACACTATTGATGCTCACACTCTTATACAACTATATGGTATATGATATGAACTTTTTCCACATCACTTCAAATCACATGCTAAATGGCTGAGAAATGGTCTTATTTCAACTGAGTGAATGACTCTGTTTTTGACATGAAAGTTCAAGCTACAAAGTGGAGTAAATGACTATACCATTTTCTGATGCACCAAGGCTACTCTTTTGGATTATCTTCTCCAGAATTAGAAAAGCCTGACAATTTATAATTATTAACAGAACCAGAGAGCATATGCACATAAAAGACAATGATCAAGATACAGCGCGTTGTCACTCAACACCCACAGATAAAGCATTCGAGCAGCTTCATCTGCTTGAATGTTTATTTTGCCATTCCCTCCTTTTTACCAATTATATTTTAGTTTTAATTTGCATCTTGATACAATTCTGGACTCGTATTCAAGTATCCATCTGTCGTATATTAAGGCTTGGCACTCTTATCCCTGTTTAAATGCTCTCAATCGTGGGCTTTGAACCTTTGAAACAAAACAACAATTAAGAGGGTAAGAAGGGATCGATAGAAACACAAGTCGGATGCGGTGGTTAGCAAAGCCAACTTCAAAGAACCTATTTAAACCCACCATAAATCAAAGTGAAATAGAATGCCAATCCATAAAATTGAAGGAGAGAAAAAAAAAGTTGAATATTGATTAGGCTGCATGTCAACTCAATCATTACAATGAAAGAAAGAGTCTATTAATAGCTTCAAAGGTTATTAGAGTAAATAAAGGCTGATAAACAAAGATGTGGAAATTTTTAAATTATAAATGACTGAAATCATAGGAATGTTAAATACTCAAATAAAACACATTAAAAAAACATGTTTCAGAGTGTACCAGTTCAATTAAAAAGGCTCATTGTAAATTATACTGAACTAAACAAATTCCAACATCAATTTTGTAAGCAATTTATATGAACATTTCATCTGATTTCAATAAATAACTACATGCAACATGCTTTCATAGAGTTTACTCACCCTTAGGAATGAGTCCAGGGCGCCATTCTCCATAAATTCTGTGACAATCATTACTGGTCGGCTTTTTGTGACGACACCCTCCAGACGGATAATGTTTGGATGGTCAAACTGGCCCATGATGGAGGCTTCAGACAGGAAGTCTCGCCTTTGCTTTTCAACATAGCCAGCCTTCAGTGTCTTGATGGCCACATAGATCTCCCTCTTACCAGGCAGCTTCAAACGACCCTTGTACACTTCTCCAAATTCGCCTGGTCAGAAACAATGGAGCATAGTGGAGTTGCTATCAAAATGAAGAGCCGATCTCCTTCATCAGTTCAAAGTCATTGCAGTTTTTCAATTAGTCACACCTTAGATGTCCTAACGTGCCCATTCATTATGTGTGCTTCAGGCATGCTGAGTGTTTTCTTACACGAATAGTAGTGCTGATCTGCTGGTGATACTCACAACAGTGCGGTTCCTTCTGACTCACAGCAGTCACCTTATCCTAAAATACTGCCAAGTGTCTTTGTGTTCCCAAACTAAAGAAAATCAGCCAAGAACTATCTAGTGAATTTCTGGCACCAATTTCATTAATTATCACCAGCTTGCTGTCCTGTAGAGAAACCACACCGAGATTTCAGCAAAAACGGAAATCCTTAATTAGTTAGCCACCTTGCTTTCTTATCTTTACCCGAACTCACACCTAGCTTGCTGAGTAAGCCATGGTTCGGGAGCTATTCCCGGTCCAATCACTACTACTATTTTTGCATCATAATGAAGACGCACAGAATGGTCAAGGCCTGTAAATCTAAAGTGTTTCCAACTATAGGGAGAGGCATGAATAAACATGAACATAATGCAGATGTCTATTTAAAGATGTTCTTTCAGAACTGTTAGTAACCAATCATATACTTTAAAAGACATTGTGAATTCGATTTTAAACAAGGGTCCACACAATTTTACAAATATATTTAATGAGTGTGTTATTGGAGGCAAAACATCGTAAAAACAACATTATTATTCAATAGAATAAATAAAATAGAAAGGCTTGAGTTATCCTCCTGGGGGTCCCTAGCGTACCATGATGATGGTGAGCTTGGCTTTGGCCCTTCACATGACTGATTTATTTGACTAACAGTCTGACTCTCGGACCTACCGCAGATACAGGTTAAACTCATATGAAGACATGCACTTTATATACAATATGCAGAAGCATCCAAAATCACAGGAGTCCACATCCACATCAAGGCTCAAGAAACAGTAAATGTGCACACAGAAATGCATCGCTTCAATATACTGTTTGTCATACCTGCACCGATGACCTCCTCAATCTTGACAGTGGAGACATCAATCTCTTTGGCAAATTCTCGCACTGCCTCGTTAGGGTCCTCATAAGTGAAGGGGTCAATGTAGATCTTCATTCCCGGTGAGCCTGAGAAGTGGGTCGGGCAGCCCAGTGGGGAGGGGCAGTTAGACATGTCGGCTCGCAAAGAGAGTTCTAGGACAACCAAAGCGCTCAGTGAGCTTTTCAAGAAGGAGATAGTCTTCCTTTACACTTAAGTGAAATATTCTATAAATGTCTGATTATTAAAATTAGTCCCCAGATTTTAGCTTAAGTCTCAATATGACAAAATGTCACAGCGTCTTCAAGCTCTTAGTACCGGAGACGATTTCTTTAGAGCCCAAATCAGCAACAAGACAGAAAATGACAGGTGAAAATATATTTGCCTTGTACAGGATAAGTGGTTGGTCACAGGTACAACTTGCTTCAAAGTAGAGAGAAAAAAAATCTTTGCTGGAGTAAAATGTGAGACTAGAAAAGAAAAATAAGACCGCAAAGCATTAAATGCGACACAGAGAGACTAGGGTGTATAGAAAGCATAAATGTATGCCTTTTTTATTCCTTTATCCCTTACACTGGCAATATCTGCTCTTTCAACATGGTAAAACCAATTTTCCAGCAGCGTTTTGGTATAGGAGCTCATAAAAAGATAACACTACCATGCCATCAACAACCTCTTTATGCAATTCTGCAACAAGTGACCGCAGTTCAAAGACCGGAGATGTCTTTCCAAACGAAGGAAAGGTTTATTCTGTTGACAGGTTGGGTGGGTGGATAAAAACACTTGTAAACAAATTTAATATGCTCCAAAAGGACAAACAGTCAGCAACCAGACATGAAATCATCATCTCTGTGGTGATATCGAAGGACATGCCAGTTTCATAGGGTCTGCTTAATCCAAACTTTCCCAGCTATAATTTGAATAAACCTGTCTTCAATCAAGTAAAATATATGACTGCTCTTTTGCATGAACTACACAGAAGGACAGAAGGGTCTAAAGAGAATATGTGATGGCCGGTTCCAGGGATCAAATTGCCTCACCTTGCAGTTAATACTGTAATTGTTTGGAACTCAGTTTAGGTTAATTTAATTCATCATTTGATTTTGTTCATCGTAAAAAGTTTTTAGAGCTTTCTTTTGCATACTGTTTAGTATGTAAAACATACTTTGAGTTTGTGCAATAGTATTTCCAAACTTTAGAAATACTATTTCCAAAGTTTGGAAATAGTAAAGCTTGGTATTTTGACAAGGGAACCAGGTCTGACTACAAGCACATGTAAAGACACTTGGTCTCAAGCTAAAACTGAATCTCAAACTCTGCACAGTCATTACTTTCTAACTCTTACTCTAGAGCTCACTTTTATCTATAATTTAAAATGCAAACTGTTTATTTTTCGGACTCATCTCTTTCTGACCACTGGCTAAAAACATAGACTCTCAATTTAACATGAATATTTTAAAGGGACCTCGTCTAAGTGTATGTAGTAAAAGTATCTGAACATCATTTCTATATTTACCAACATAAAAAACTTGCCCTATGTAGGGAGAGGATGCATAGCTCCTCTCCTGGAGTTTGAGGTATTGACCAACATTTTGAAGTTTTCTATATGGACACATTTGACACACACAAAAAAAAAGTGGATTGAAGCAGTTCAGTGAATTAAGACCTTCCAAGTGTATTACTTGTTCAAAAGAAAGATTTCTACATAACAGATTTATTTAATTTCCCCAGATTTCCATAAATAATCTAACAGGACTACAAGAACACACAAAAAAATATTTTGTGTTGAGAAATCACCTTATTTCCCAGCCTAAAATTTTTGAGTGGAATGCAGTTGTTTAGGGTGAGGGTTGCTTGCAAACAAAATTCAAGCAGCTATGTATGTGGGGGGCATGTGTTTATTTAAATGATAAGTATAATTGTCATCTTTTGGAGTGATGTTGGACCCAATCTTTGGTAGAAGGCATCAACATCAATTAGGCTGTTTTTTTGTTTGATTGTTTGTTTTTAAGTTGAAAACATGAACATATCAGGGGGAATACATGTTGTCATTCAACTTATAGAAATTATGTAGCTCTTGCTAACAAATGTCAACTCCGTAAAAGCTGTGTAGCTGCCTAGTTGTACAAGAGTACATTTTTATTTCTGCAACTTACAAAGACAACAGTCTTGAGTAATGAACATGTATCCATTTAGAATGGAAAAGGGATATTCTCACATAACAGAAGTTCATCGAAACTTAGCAAAGCTTCCTGGTAATCACGGCAAAAAAAAAAAAAAGGGAAAAAAAAGCTCCAGAAAAAAAGCCTTGAAAGTGTGGACTTGTGTGAGAGTTGCCCTCGAAGCATAGAGTGAGTTTGTGCAATTTAAGTTAGTTGGTTTTATGTTTTTCTTGGCTGATTGATTAAAGTTACATTTTACCATACAGTACTTAACCATGAAATTTTCTGTCATTGGCCTATTTGTCTGCTATGCTTGTTTACTAAGTGGGTCTAATGTATTCACAAATCAACCAGGGATCAAGTACAACTATGGGGCAAATCAAATTAGTGGTCTTTCTTAACAGGATTTACATTCAGTCTTAAGACAAATAGGAATTCTGGCTTTTTTAAAGCTAATCTTTTTAAGTTAAAGAACCCTTTCATACTTTCAGCAAGGGAACTCACTGTCCACCAATTTATTTTCTCTGACAAAAAAATTAATTTCCATATGTCTATGTATTAATGAAGAGCTGGCAATTAACTGTTTTCTGTGATTATATTTGTTGAGGAATTAACAAACAGCGGCAGGGCGGTATATCCCTACAGTGAGTTCATTTTCATTTCATGTCTGTCTAAGAAGCAGACTAATCTACTTTAGTTGCTAACGGTATTATGAGCTGAGGTTCCTGACTCAATCTAAACTAATTATCCATTGTTTGATGTTAGAAAATCATCTGTCACACACTTAGACCAATTAGTGTGAAACTTACGCTCGCTTTGTATGGGTTAAGGTTTAAATAGTATAAAAGCACATGGGTGTTTTTGTACCTTCTGACACAAAAACACCCAGTGAAATATTGATGAAAGATGATGAAAGTGTAACACTGTGTAACACTGAACAGAGATTCCTTTTGAGACGTACAAGACCTTTATTTTAAAATGTTCTTTGGCATTAGGACCAAAGTAAAATTAGACAGGCGTAAACATAGAAATATTTTACTTTAATCAAATAATCTTTAAAAAAAAAACTGTTTAGCATTTCCCAAAACAGTCCTTAAAAGTACTCTTGCTTTGAGTACAATCTTGTCTAATAAGCAATGCATGAACTGCTACGACCATACCTCTTAATAATCCACAATCTATAATAACTTGCGAATGCTACCATGTCTGCCAAAGTGTAAAATGCATCCCTAATAAAAGTTAAACAACAAATTTCTTATGGAATCCAGTGAGCACCAGTTGTTTTTGGTGGGTTTCTAATTTCATTAGCTAATTAAAAAAATAAATAAATAAGTATGGCCTTTTATTGCAAAAGCAAGACACATTCAGAAGTATTAAATTCAAATGATTCACTAATAAAATGTATGGGAGTGAGGTGAAAAAAAATTGGGAAAATTCTCAGAGTCCACTAAATTAGGTCACCTAATCTAAGGTAAATTAGGTCACCTTAGATGTGATTGATTCATCATGTGAACTATTTTGTTTTTAAATTTCATGTGTTTACCTGTTTGTTTTTCAATATCACACCTGGGGAATAGTGTAATGTAAAAAGCAGCCATTCAGTTGCTTCTCTAAATCTACTTTCTTGACACAATGAGGAAGAGATTGTACAATGTGTGTGTGACAACATCTGGAAAAGCAGGCAGCTGGGTGAAGCACATTTTTTTGGAAGTTTATATAAAGCAATTGACAGAGGCGATCTCTTTTGTTTTTGTGCTGAATATTGACATTATCAAACTGTCACTCAAATCTTAAGAGAATAGAGGAAAACAAACCACCATAAGGTGTTGTGGTGATAGATGGAGTTTCTGCATGTAGGAAGTGTGAAGGTTTAACAACCAAATCTGTGAATAGGACCCCTTATAAGCATTTTGCTTCCTTTTCATTTCAGATCTCTTACTTAGGTGTACAGGTCTTTGAACCTTAATTTTTTACAAGCTGCATTATGCTAATTGAATCAGGCTCACCCAAATATAGTTATGACAGAATTGACTCCTATAGTTCATGTCCACAGTGGCTTTAATGAGCCCCAAGCTGCCACCTTTCTGTGACTTTGACACAAAGTAACTATGTTGAAACACTTTGCTGTGTCAGGTTCAACAAAACTCAATTCCCCGGGTGTGAGTCCCTTTCTCAGACTGCTTGGTTGGCAGATTGTAGAGCTTTCATATGAGCTACAAAGCCTGTACCCATTCCTTTGAGTGCATGTGTGAGTCTGAATGTGCCTGAGATTATTTGTACGCCCCTCTGGGCTTTGTGTTCCTCATCAGTGCATGCCCGGAAAGGGCTTAGACAAGACTCAATCATGGATATCATGCAGCCCGAAGAAATTTTAGTCAATGTCAAAGCACACAGGAGAGACAATTATATCCACAAATTCCAACCTGATCAATTTACTTTTATGATATCTATATTTTAACTTTACGCTAAACATAATACAGTACCTTATAAGTATATTTATAAACCTTGGACTATCAAAGACTTTAACAGACATCTTCAAAGCTGCAGTAGAGAGAAATTTACTCCCTTGGATTTTATTTACATCAGAATAAAAAGAAATGAATTTTTGTCACATTTTTAAAATCTATTCTCTTTACAACTATTGACTTCTTTATGGTGGTCACATAAAATGGCCCGCTTGGGGAGCAGTCCTGGATGTATCCTGCATCTCGCCCCAATGACTGCTGGAGATGGGCATCAGTCATACTATGACCCTGCAAGGATAAGCAGGTTTAAATAATGGATTGATGGATCTTATAAACCTGGGTGTTGTCTTTTAAATTATTATATTAATAAAGCCCAATGTTCTCTGAATCCTTCGGGAGATGAGCCTACACCTAGATGTAAGAAAAAGTCTGCTTTGATAAATAAACTCCCAACTTTTGCATTATTCTTAGTCATCACTCTTCAGTTTTTCTACTTTCTAATTTGTAATTCTAATGTGTTATTGTATTGTATTGTTCCGGATCTGACAGCAGACATCCATTAAGTGAGAGAAAGTCAATAAAGCCTAATATGTAGCATAATTACAATAAGAAAAACAGTGCAATTTTGAGTTGCCAGTCTTTTACCAAAGTGTAGCATCCACCATTTCCTGCATAAATAACCATTACCTTAGAAAATTAATGGAAACATGCCAAGGTGCTTCTGCATTGTTTCCATTTGCAGGCTTGTGTTTAATCTAAAACGTGCACTGTCATAATAAAAAGGATCACATTTAAATAAAACAAGTGAGAAAAGGTTGTAAAAGAATTTAGTCAAATTTCCAGGTCCATTTAGGTGTCCTCCATTTAATTTCACTGCATACAATTCATTTTTCTTTTGGCATTCTAAATAAATGCAATAACCTGATGCATAGACACTGACTTCTTGTTGTGTTAGGGAAACAGTACTTGTCGGTCCTGCCTGTCCCTACTATTGCTGTAATAATGGTGCACTATTAAATGCAATATAATACAAAGTTTTTAAGCATGGTTAAGCATGTTAGTGAATATTTTGTATTCAGAAAATATTTAAATTTTTACCATTAAAAAAAGGTCTGAGTCATCTGGAAACCATACAAAATCTGTTCATTTTCATAGTTTAGGTCATTATAGAGTAGAACACAGTTTCCTATATGTGTAGAAATTTAAAGAGAAAAATCTGGTACTGTAAACCAACACTTTAGCAATTGTGACAGCAATTATCAGAGTGGACTCACCTCTTCCGGTGCTGTAATGTTGCAGCTTGTCACTATACACTGCCTCCTTGCTGTATGCTCTTTTCCTGAGAGAGCAGCAAACATTAAAAGAGAATATAAGAGTTGACATGATGAAAGGGAAGATGGCTCATGATATTCTGTGCTGCCTGAAGATGACGCAGATGAAAATAAATCAGTTTCAGCGGATACCAATAGCAGATGAAGTTTATGAAAATGAGTTGATTTTTAATTAGACCTTGATAGGATCTTTTTTCTTTTCATGTCTCCTCTGCTTCTGCATCAAAAGAGGCTGCCCTATTTGATGAGTACTTGACTTGCTCAAACTTGCACATCACTGGTGAAAATGTAACTTTCATATATTTTAAATGGAGCAAGACAGGAATGTGACAATGTGACAAACTGCTGCAAAAAGAGATAGGCTTAATGCGGTAGAGTTGTCTGTCTCTATGGAAAAAATCTTCCTTTTAGAATGTAACAGCTTTTGCATTTCTATTGAATCTATTGATTTTATTTTGACATCCTTATATTAGATCTCTTCATCTTACTTAGGGTAGGGAAGAGAAAACATAAGAACAACTCCTGCACTGTCCGAATATAGAACTTTTGTTGTTTTCCATTTCATAAAAAATCCAACTCAAAATTACCAACAAGTTATTTTATTTCTTGCTGTATTTTCAACTTAATTAAGCATTTCCATGATAGGCTTGAGATCTCAACAGAGTGCATAACATTAGCATTAACTTTACACTAATGTTAAATGTATGTAAACAAAGTTTACATTAACTAATGCTGAAAAGTTCTACAGAGCAATTTTAGCATTTGACTGACACCAGTAAAGCAAGCTAATATTGGCTGGGTTACTTTGAGAACATAGACAATAATTGTCAAAATCCTTAGTACACTTTGATACCATTAACCATATGTAGCAGTATCCAGCCAATGTCATGGGAGCATAAATACTTTAATTCATTTATCTTTCATCTCAGAGACAGCAGTAGCAAGAATAATACTTTTCACAATTTAGTACAAAAGAGAAAATAAGAAAAACTCTGGTTACCTGCTGCACACGATGGAGATAGCAATAAGCGAAACAATAAAGACCACTCCAGCAGCTGCTGACCCCGCAATCAGAGGAAGCTGTTCCCTCAGTTCAGACTTGAAGTCGTCTACACAAAGAAAGCGTAGAAGGAAATGTAATGAAAATGAAATAAACTGTAAATAATATGTATGCATACACACAATTTTTTTTATCATATACTATATACACATATACCTTTTCTTTTTTGTTTTGCCACCTATTTTTGAACAGATTTTTTGAACTGATTTAAATTCTGTTGAGAGGTGCTTACGGAAACCCCATTATGTTTGACTACAAAAGTGAAAGGGAATAACAAAAGCAAAATTGAAAGCGAACAAAGATTGTGAAAGACCTTAGAATCATCTCTGTTGGTATAGGTATCATAAACAAGTGGACAAAGAAACAGTTGTTGAAATCTTGGCTTTAAAAGTGTTAATAGAAAGCCATTTATTGTCAGTCATCCACTATTTTTTTTAACTAGTGTTGACTGTGGCAGGTCTGGAGGACAATCTAAAAGTGCAAAGGCAGCAGAATCCTCAGCTATCTTTTTTGCGTGCCAGTCTTTTTGCGACCCCGAGCACAATCGTTAAAGCAAAATCACAATTTGGCATGCTGAAGGCAAATCAGCAGCTTCTAAATCCCATCCCCCATGCAGGATGGACGCATTGGATTAAAGTGATAAAGGGAGACCTAATGCATTTTTGGAGCAGTGTGAGAGCTGGAATATGTGAGGGAGCTCAATATGACATGAATCGGTTGCTTTTTAAACTTGTGAGTTTTTCAAGAATATTTCAATAAAACATTGTGAATAGCTTTTTGCAGTTTCCCAGGACTCTTTCTATTATGTTTTGATGCATATTCATTGTGAGAGGTCTATATAGATCTTCCCTTTGAGAACACCAACTTCTCTTGACGATTTGAAATCACAGAAAAGGCTCTTCCAGTGGTAAATATGTTCCCATAACTTTGAGACCTAATCCTGGTACACGGAAATAAAATAAATCTCTTCCTTAAATGATCAGTCACTATGACTTTGTGTGTCCAGAAAAGTATAGAGAAAATGGTGAAAAAGCATACAAAAATGTTCTGACAGGAGGACACAAAGGATTAAGAAATACGTTTATTGGAAGGGAGACAAGGTGTTTACTTTATGAGGAAATTAAGCGGTTTGACGGCAAGAGAAAAGACTGGTAAGAGGGGCCAGGAGGTGGAGGCGTGGGTGTTATCGTCAGCTGTCCTCTGGTGCCTACTGCTAATTGCCTTGACGAATGTCGTGCTATGGCAACTGGCCAAGGGATGAACCATAAGCAGCATGCGCGAGTGTGAGGTATGTGTCCCCATGTGTGACTGCGTGCATGCATCTAAAGTCACACTGTTACATGTTTGAGAGAACGATCATTTGTGAAGAGAGGGTGAACAGAGGGCCTACGACTGTGCCTCCACATCTGCTCTGCAGATGTAAATAGCCAAAATGATAAGCTCTGCCACCTGACATTTTTCTCGCCGTTAAAACTCAACTGTGGCATACAGTAATGTGATCTTCATTACTAATAATACTTCCATGTCTGTCAAGTTTTGCATTTTAAAATAAAATACATTTACCACCGCTCATTATGAGCCATCCCACCTGCCCAACCAAGGTCCATTGTCCTTTACACTTTAATACACTGTCTTTTACACTTTACTAGAAATCAAAATACCTGTCAACCACTTAAAAACTACAATTAGGAGCTCTAAATCCTAATTTTGCTGATAGGCCTACCTTTATTGTTCTTGAAATGCTGTGGACATTTCTGGGTATGCCCACAGCCTAAATGAAAACACAAAAGGGAACTTAAGCAAATTTATTTACGTATTCATAAACTATGTCTGTATGACATAATCCCTTGCAGTGTTAACTTGAAGGCGTTCATGCAGAAATTCTGAAACATTGCATTAATGCGCCATGGTTTGGAGGTAATCAGCCTGTGGCACTGTATAGGTGTGATGAATACTCAGATTGCTTTAATAGCTGCTTTGAGATCATCCGACTTGTTGCATATGATATTGCTCATCTTGCTCTTGAGAAAAGGTTTGGGAGTTTCCTGGTCGATCACAAACAGGAAAACTATACCATTATAAAATACCATTGAACTAGCTTTTGGCTCCTATGGCAGTGTGTGCAGGTGCTGGTAAATAAAATCAGGATGTCAGGAGAGAATATTTCTGAGAAATATTCAAATATTTCTCAGTAGATGGTTGATTGACTGTGGACTTCAGAAAACACAATGGACCAACACCTACAGATGGCATGACACCTTAAACCATCACTAACTCTTCATTTGTCAAGTCAGCAGTCTTCCCCATGATTATGTAGCCCATTGACCCAGAGTGAGCGACCATTTAAAGGCTCAAGAGGCCTTTGCGGATGGTTTGTAATAATTAGCTGATTAGGGTGTGACACATTAAGTTTCCATTCCAGTGACCTTTTTCACAATATTCTAGTATTCTGAGACACTGAATTTTGAGTTTTTCTTATCTGTAAACCATAATCACCAAAATTATTACAAGCAAAAAAACTGGGGAATATTTCACTCTTTGTGTGTGGATTCTGTCTCACTTTTCTGGTACAAAATATTGCACTTTTTTTTAGATGTACTAGTATAATGTGGAAACATCTTAATAACCTCTTTATGTCTTAGGAACTCTGGCCATATCAGAGATTAGTGTCGTCTTCTAGTAAGTAAGAGTTATTCAGACAGCTGTTTTAATTCCAGCACCAAAAACCCCGGCTGGGAAGCTCATGAGGAATTGCTCCACCAACCTCACCAAATCTATACACACCCTTTCTGCAGTGACACTAATGAACATAGCTCCAGATGCTTGCCAGCTTACCAGGTGTTTCAGCCCTTTTTCCCTTGCCAAGTGCCCCCTGCCTCTGATGCCCCCAAAAAAAAGAAAATTAATCTAATCAACCGCTAATCAGAGCTATGTATTCTAGTACAGTTCTCCGGTAACAGAAGGACATGGTAAAAAAAAGCCTCCCCAAAAATTAGCTAAGCATTTAAAATGAACCACACTTAGCTGCACAGAGAAAGGATACTCTGCATTCTTCATGTTCATAGCTCCCACACACGCTTACATCTGACCCTGAAGGAAATCAATTTTTCTGTGGAAATAGAAGTGCAATCAAAAACTGTGTTTTTCCTTCCATTTCTTCTGCTAATAATAATCCAACACCAAACACAAAGAGGTGTCCATGGGTGCTAGCAAGAAGAGGGTGTGTGTGTGTATGCGTGCGTACGTGTGTGTGTGTGTGTGTGTGTGCGTGAAATGAAAAAAATAAAAGCAGAGTAGAACAGAGAGACGACCAGACAGAACTGATTCCTCTGGCTCCACGGTCCTTACCATCTGTGAGGGTTTGGAAGCACATCTTGCTGCTATATTTGCCAAAGCCAGCCACAGTCCGTGCCCGCACCTGTACCACGTAAACTGTACCCGGCCTGAGGCCCTCCACACGTGCAGTGTTGGTCTGGCTGCGCAGCACAGTAGAGTTTATCTCTGCATGATCCTGAAAGAAGCAGTGAACAAAGAAAACATTAGCGATTACTTACTGCACAAAAGTCACGCTATCAACTAATTAATGAAGGTTCATTTGTATCATAAAGTGACAATTATGGATGGAACTTCACCAACTATTGAGCATCAAGGATCTAAATTTGACAGCGGTTACCTTGAAATTATTTATGTTTTACAAACCTAATATCTGACAGAATTGGCTTCTAGCAATGGTCATTAATATGTGGTAGACCTATATCATTGTTCTGTGTGGCTAGAGGCGATCTATGCTAAGTATTGTGCTATTTTTTTTCCAATGCTGTGGCATCAGTGGCCTCCATTCACAGCAACCAGACAGGAAATTGGCAGGGAAAGAAGGTCAGAAACTATACAGCAAATGTATCAAATGCATTAGGATTTGAACAATGGCTGGTGGAGCGGTTATGTTCCCAATTATTTTATTTTTCTAAGGAGATTAATATATAGTGCTCCAATGTAGTGACGCAAGTCTTTCCAAGTTACACAAACAACCAACCAACTAGACAGACCAGACCAGATCTGCTCCTGCTCTGGTCTATCTAGTTTACTTTGTTTATATATACATTTTTCCACAGCACATGAATCAGTTCCCTTATTGGAGAAGGTCTCTTGAAACAAGAAGAACTATCAGACAAACAACAACATATTAAACGGTACTAAATGCATTTGCAACATGTGAACATTTTGTGATGCCTTGGAAAGAGAAAGACAGAAAGGCATGGAAAAGAGAAGCAGTGAACCTTTAGAAAAATACTTAACCTTTACTGTAACATTAAGGTAAAAAGTAAACCATAAACATGGGCGTATTTGTCATCTGACATTTATTATAAGCAAGAAAGCTGCTGACTACCTTAAACACTGAGCTACCAAACTGAGAAAGGGACATAAGCAGCTTACTAATGAAGGTACTGGGCATTTAACTGCATTCAACTCTCTATTATGGTGTAAGCTCTTTTTTTTTCTTTTTTTTAAGTAAAGACAGTGAAAACTGTCTCAGAGCATGTAATAGAAAGGCTAAATATTTTTTTTTAATTGGAAAGATTTCTAGAAGTTATGATTTTTAGTGTATTGAGGGGTTGGCTAAATGGAAGTTAGGCATGAAGAAAACATCTGAACAATACAGGACCTCAAACCAACCACAGAAAAGATGGTTTCCTATTCATCCAATAGCACACATGTCAACTAGTAGAACCTAACTTTAAACAACATAATTTTGTTCGCCTGTTTAAAGTATGCTGACTTTTAAAAACCTGTGCATAAATTGGCATGCTACTCAAGTACACTGAATTATTCAATAATGTGTGCGTATATATACGTGCAGCCACCTTTTTAATTGTAACTAATGTTTGAAAAAACAGTCTTCATTCCATTTTCACGCTCAACAGAGCGAGTCAGACAGTCTGCTGCAGAGAAGTTTGGGACTTGTTGGAGGTACAGAATCTGCTATAGGGGATCAGTAATAACTTGGGGCCTGTCACAATCCCGTAACGCAGAGTGAATATGACAGCCAGAAAATAAGACTGCACCTACACTACACCCACCATTGCAGGCCACTGATGGCTGCAATGCAGACAAACTGGAAAGGGTGGCTATGAGCAAAGGGCTGTATAAGAAGTCTTTATTTTAAACTGGCTTAATAGAACATTGTTCAGTGTTAGAACTGTGCATTTTTGCCATCATGTATAAATGCTTAGAGGAAAAAAAAATCAGGTAAGGAATAAGAAGACGGAGGAAAGAAGGGAGTACATGGAGGAGATGGAAGATGGCAGGAAGTGATAAGAAACTCGAGGCAGTGGCAGCCCACACTGAAATCATTATCCAATCTGATTGGTGTAATTGAATCATTCCGGTTGCTCCATCACTAAGCAGACGAGGTAAACATGGCTATGAGATCTGCTTCCATCCACCTCTCGCATACACATAATGATGTGCGCAATCACATTAACTCTTATTGGACACTTTGGGCTTGATGAAGACAAATGTTTGGGGTTGAGATGTGGGGGCATCACACCAGCAGGATTTCATTCTGTCAGTGAGAGGAAAACATATTTATAAATGGAATGCTGGATGTAACTGGTTTATTGAGTTTAATCATTAATGTACTTTTCGGTCTTGAGAGCAAGCAAACTGTTTTCAAATTGCTGCATACAAACACTTATGAGACGTGACTTCATGGCAACAGCTTTTTTGAAAAAAGTGCACCCCACAAGATTACCCATGAGAGACTAAAACCCCTGCCATCAAATCATATGGTCCCAGCCATGGTTGAAAGCACACAGACCCTTAGGGGTCAAAATTTGCCTATTCCTTCGTTGCCTTCACCAAGCCACACCTCCATCTGTTGAATATAAATGCAGAACAGGTGAGCAGACAGATGGCAAACCGCCAATGGCCTCTTCATGCTGCCTGTCAAAAGGGGATTATGTGTCACATACACACATACACACGCGCACATGCACATCTGCCACACAAAAATTAGCTGGCATTTGGCACACCAGCAGGTTTGAAGATAGTCAATGGAAGGCATTGCCAGGAAGAGCTTCCAGCTATGAGAGGTCCTTCCCTGCTGCCAGTCAATTGGGGATTAGGAGGACCACACCCCAACTTACTAAATCAAGAGTGAGTTGCAGGTGGGAAGGCAGATGGCAGAGCAGCCAATCAAAATCGTTGCCAGAGGTGACAGACAGAAGCACTGTGGGAAATGATCACCGAAGCATTCAGCAAAGTGAGAGAGCCATGGTTAATCTCACTATAGAACTATTTTTAAATACTATCTGTGAACATAAATGTGATAATTAATATTTAAATTTGAATATGGTTGTATGTACTGTATGAAGCTTTAAAGCATCTATACTGTTTTACACACTTTTATAGAAATGTGCTAATTAAATATAAAAAAAGAAATGAACTGCAACTAAATTGGTCCTGGAAAGCCATGCATCTTCTTAGATGTAGATGTTCCACAAATCCATATTACTACTATGAGAGACATAGTAGTAATATGTTTTATTTTTTGTTCATTTATAGCATGCACACCTAGAACCACCAGAAAAGCCCTGATGTTCACAAGCACAACCATTGAAGTGGCTACATTAAAAGTTAATTTGGTTTATTGTAAGTAAAATAAGATATTACCAGTGGAATGAAATGTGTGGAACATTAACTGTACAGTAAAAAGTAACTTTAGGTTGCATACAACTATTTAAGAACTTTTATGGAAATCCTGCAACTATAGATGAATAAAATTAGATAGAAACATCTAGAAAGAAAGTAATAGGCTGATAAAGCCAAGTCCAGTGGTTCTGTGTGAAATTTTTTCTCTGTAGAGAACTCATGACTTTCAGCCATCTCCTGGGCACTCAAATAATTCCTCAGCATATTTCCAATGTCTCTGCCTTCAGCAGACTATCCATGATCAATGATCATATTCCCTTTAGTTGTGTCCTTGTTCAAAAGCTAATTTATCCCAACCAAAATCCTCTGCATTCATTCCCGCAGTGGTGCCAAAACCTGTTCCACATTCATCCTTTGTTTCTTGTTGATAGTTCCACCATCTGAAAAGTATCACTGAAGCCTTACACTGCTCTTCATATCTCCATGCAGATTAAAAAAGACTCCTCTTGCTGCAATATTAGGAGTAACATAAAAAGTTCAGAATTTCTGAACATTTTTCCATATCTGAAACAAATATACTTTATCCGCTAATATTTATGTACTGTGATTTGTTAAAACATATTCTTCTCAGTTCTTTGCAACTCAATTACAATAGTAGTGAATGTGGCAGGTCAGTAGCAGCATTTTGCATTGTTTCGATGAAATAAAATTTAACCCCTTGGCGATTTTTGCTTTACATGGTCATAACTTCTCTTTTTATGTCACAAACGTTTCATAATTGAAGAACTTTTAAAGAGAGTCATATATTGTGAATGTCATGAAATATGAGTCACGGTCAGCTCATTTTGGGAGTTGGGGAAAAAAAAAAAGACCTATTGCTGCTTTACATGTTTAACACAATGAGGACATGAATATTTAAATGCAAAATTCTCAACAATGTGTTAAAGCTTCCATGTTATTTTAGAGATTTTATTATTTTTTTTTTTTTTTAGAAATTAGTGTTGGCAAAAATGTATTTTTTGGTTTTAGGTGTGTCCAGTAAAATATTGTTCTTTCAACTAATCTTAAACTGGAAATTTGTTTAACAAAAAGTGCCATTCCTGTCAGACATTTGCTTTTATATAATCTGCTGTGATTCTTTTCAGAAAGTCGAGTGAAATAACTGGTTTTGTTATTTTATGTTTCACTTTATGCTTTGTGCAGTAATTCATTTACAGAAAAGCAGTAAAGATTAACAAAAGGATTTATGACCTTGCCGTATGGCTAGCAAGTGAAGGAGTTTTTGCACAGTCACTAATTTCATGGAGATCATTACAACTGAAGTGATCTGGCTTTTTAGGTCATGGTGACTATGAAGCTCCCAATGGAAATACTACCTATTACTTTCTTTCATTTTCACAGTTATAGTGAAATCTTAGTGGCATTTTATCAGTTGAAAACACATCTCTCAAAGCCACCACTTTAATAAAGCCCTGTGAAATATTATATCTGATTCAAAACTAAAAGCTGGGTCATATTGGACAATAAAAAAATAACTTTTATTCTACTTGATGTGTGTATGTCTCTGTGAGTCAGAATCTTACTTGTGTGTCTGATTTTCACAAATTGCCAACCAACCCAAAATGCACAGCATGGCCACTTGGCAAAAGGACAAACATGGTGTGATACCATGTGTCCTCTTCACAGGCTCAAACAGTTGCACGCATGCATAAAACCGGCACACACAAAGGCAAACCGAGGAGTTTATGAACACAAATTCTAGTATTTCTAGTTTTGTAAAACAAAAATAACTGGGGGAATTGTTTCTATAATCATGCTATTATCAAACTGCATACAATAAAACTAGCTAAAATACTAATAAAGTAGAAATGCTCTAAAACTGACATTAAAAATCTACAAATTCTGTCTTTTTTCAATCTTAATTCAGCAATCGTATGTCTATTAAATGTGAATACATTGTCCTTTTTTTAAGTTAACTTTCTTTAATTCTCTTTAATCTTTAATATTCTTCCCTATATACTTTGCGAAAATCTTCCTTTACCATTATTCTTTGTGTAGATTCAATGTGGGAATAAATACCAAGAGGGGGGAAAAGTGAGCAAACACAAAGAAATATGACTTTTGACTGGGGACTGTGGTGTGGTAAATAAAGAGATTAATTTGCCCCCTCAAACATCTACATATATTCATAAAATGTGGTCAGACAGTAAGTACATAAAGTCGCCTTTTTATGTGTGTCATCACTAATTGTATACAAAACACAGAGAAGAGTTCATTGTGCCCAGCCCGTAAAACCTAGGATTTTTGCTTGCATTTCCTAACACTGCTGCATGACTTCACTATTGTTAACCAGAATGGATCCACCTGCACTGCTGGTGGGTTTTGTACATACACAACTACACACACTCATACCCAGCAGTATACAAATACAGCATGCGCACACACACACACGCATTCACCCTCTTTGTGACACCATCAGAGCTGTCTGCAACCAGAGTGGGTGGCTGCTCTGATCCAGCCTAATGGAGGGCCTGACCTCCACTATGTAGACTTATTTCCTCCCTCCCCAAATTTTCAGGCAACTAGATGAAAAAAGGTAAGAGGAAAGACAGGATGAGATGTCCTTTCTTCTGCAAGGGTTTAAATCATTTAATCTTGCTGTCCAATGAAAGGTCCTGGGAACACTTACTTTGGAATAAGTTGGTAGCCTAAAGAAGAGAGAGGCATCTGCTGAGTGAACTCCTATTAGCATCTGGTTAGGATGTCAAGTTAAAAAACAGACTTTGACGTAACAAAGCACATATAATGATATCAATAAGATAATAAAAAAGGTATGTTTTGATAAAGATAAATTAACACAGTCTGGAATGCATTTTTATTTGCAGCCCTCTACTTTGAAGTCCTGAAATAAAATCTGGTATTATCAATTCTCAGTCCTTATCTAATTAGTGACTACAATGTGGAATTTAGTGATTTAGTCCAAGTGCAGTTATTTATAAAGCCCTTAAGAAGTTTGTTACACGATATTAAGGTGCTTTTCCAAATATATATATGTATGTGTGTGAGAGAGAGAGAGAGAGAGAGAAAGGGAGAAAGGGATGGAGACACATTTGGTGCTTAATCAGGTATAAAAACACATCTCTGACATCTCTGTCAGGGGTGTCTGGCTGAAGGAAAGTCTGTTTAGAATGTGTGAAAAGCCTTGTCAGATCCAAAATACAGAGTGTCAAAAGAGGACCACCAAAGGGGAAATCTCATCTCGACAGCCCAGTGTGTCACAAAGCAATCACTTTGACTCACCTTCTGTGTCTTACTCACTCTCACACGGTGGAACGTTTTTTATACAGATAAGACATTTCAAGTCTGGAACAAATAGGGGGTGATGTAGGTACATTCAGCCTGGCAGCATGGCGCACAGCCTCAGTCATCACCTGAATTATCCCAGTGCAATTAGCAATCATGTCCCTGATAGTTCACTAATTTGTGATTATGATGTATTTATATATTTGTTTGAGGAAGCTCTAAACTAAACATCAGATTTGATTGATATTCATGAGGTAACATGGTAAGTGGTATTTACATGACACTAAGCTGCCTGGTGGATAAGGTTTGTCAGAGCCATGGCAGTCAGATTCAGCTCCCTGAGCTGTGAAACCTCAGAAAGGAAAAACAACATTGAAGACCTACAATTTTGAATGCAACATCATTTTAAAATAACAATTGTTTCTTGTCCCAATAGGAAATGTTTAACGTGACAATACTTTTCTAAGCTGGCACTGCGAATATTGATCCAGGGACCTAGGACACAGCGAGTTTGTGTGAAGCAAAAAATTAAAACTAACACAAGAAATGAACATATACATGTACATTGATAAATCTATATTGATTATTATCTTCTATGTGGAAACTTGAATATAGCGAAGGTTAACTGAACAGTTCAAGAATGATAAAGACTGGCAAAAAAAGAACCTCTGCATGACTGGGCTTTTTATGGATCAGCTTTAGAAAGACAAACAAGTTCAAAAACCAAAATCCTGAAGTCTCCAGTATCTGAGTTTTATTATGTTCCAGGCCTTGGGAAAAGCCTACAGGTCAATACTAAAGCAGCATAGTAACCGAAGGGTAGTGCTGGTGACTTAATAAAGCAGACGTATTGTGTGTGAGTAGACAGGTCGATGCGACTCCCTCCAGACCCAATGCATTTTCACAGTGGGACAGGGTTACTGCACTGTGCAGAGTGGGCCTGGTGCAGAGGTCAGCCTTTTCACTTCATCAGCAGCAGAAACCAAAGAACAGTGGGAGAGGTGGAGGGAGCGAAGGGACTGGACATATTATCAACCCAGGGGAACAGCTTGCAGATATCCAGGAGCTTAGATTCTACAGCATCACATGTAACATGTACAACATATGAAGAGCACAAGTGAAAAAAAAACAAAAAAAACAAAAACACACTCATGCAAATGTACACCCTGGCAGCTTACCTTCTCATAGTAGCGCAGCTCATAGTCAAGGATGATGCCGTTGGGTTGCTCTGGTTGAGGCCATGACAGTGTGAAGCTGTTCATGGTGGAGCTGATCTGGTGCATGATGGGAACAATTGACGGGGCTGCAGAAATTGAGATAGTAAAAAAAAAGTAAGTACAGTTATTTTGTTCCTCTCACTAGTTCCTTCCTTCCTTTTTTTTTTTTTCCTAGCAAACCCGCTGTCACACCAGGAACCACTTCCTCATCATCAGTGGACTGCCCAGTAGTGTCAAATGACCTGTTTGTCTTTAGCACATTAGCTAGTACAGAGGACACCAAAGCTCTTTACACTACATTTGGTCATTCACTCATTCATCCACACATTCACACATTGATGGTGGTAAGCTACACTGCAGACACAGCTCGTCTGGGGCAGTCTGATGGAGGCGAGGTTGCCATGTTCCAGTGCCACAGGGCCCTCTAACCACCACCAGCAGGCAAGGCAAGATAAGTGTCTTCCCCAAGGACAAACCACAAGTTACAGGATGAACTCTTAGCATGGTTGTCCCTTCACAATGTATGTTAAGTTCAAGAAAATTATATATGATTTTCAAACTTTTTTTTCTGTACCATGACCATGTTTATTTTTTTCTTTGTTGTCACATATCTGCAGAAATATTTTACATTAGTATAACATTTTAATAAGATCTAAAATCCAGTCTGAAGTATGTCTGACAATGGGCACACTTAAGGATTTCAATATTTTTTTACATGCGGATATCTACACAATGTATTTTGGCTATTAGATTTATTGTTATCAAGCAATTCCTGCAAGATTGGTACTTGTAGTACTCAGTTGCAATATGTGTGGTATAGGAGGCAATAATGTCACGTTACTATGCTAACACCACGCAATTTCTTGACAGATAGATAAAAAGAAAAAAAAGAAAACTGGGCTTAGCAGCAGGCAGACAAAAAAATAGTAATAATCTTTTCCAAGCTGGTATGCCATTTACTTAATAAATATTGTTGGTAAATCATTGATCAATAATTTAAAATGTCTTGATAAAAAGTTTTCCGGCAATCTTCCGGTATTATAAAAGCAAATATTATGAATCTATTGGCCATAACAAATATGGTAGATTTGATTCTTCTTTTAAAGTTTGCATTGGGTCTGAGTTTTAGCTACAAATATAAGGACTCTGTCTGAGTTGTAACTGGAGTACCATAACATTAGTCTATCGAAGACTGATTCAAAATTTAATCGGCTGTTGGGTTGAGTAGGTCTGAATATAGGAGTTGTAATGTGATATATCCAAAGTATAAATCATGTTAATGTTTCCTAGTCAGTGACTGAGTGTGCAGCCTTGCAAAGCCGTCTGTGGCATGTTGCATTTCAGGAGGTCGAGTGTCACCCTGGCTCTACCTTATTTAAATAAAGTTGAGGTACAGGTTGCTTTATGCAAAAGAGGGTCAAGCACACTAGAGCCTCTGGAGGCCAAGGCAAAACTTTAAAAAGAAACATTTGGCAATCTTTGAACTATGGCTGTAATCTTGAATATTGTGAAATATGAGATTAAACATGAAGTAAACCAACAATTACAGTTTATAAACAATTAATTGTCACATCCCCAAAAACTGCTGATTCGTCATGAACTCATTTGTGTAATGTGAAATGTTCCTTGTTAAATTCATGCATTTGTTAAAGATATCAGTAAAATGTAAACATTTTGTGATGCCAATGAGAATTTTCCACCCTTCAGCTGCCATATGCCTGACTGCACACATGCACACATGCGGTTAGTCAATTAATCTAGATACAAGGCACCTTGATCATTTTTATTCTCTGCAATGTCATTCTATCCAAATCATTGAGTACACTTCATTTATGCCATATCTCTGTGTTGTCTATTTAATTTGAGTAATAAGGGAATGGGAATAACCACTTCTAATCTTCACAATTATCTGTTTACACGGTTGTTTAAATGTGTGAATTTTGTATAGGAACTTTGTTAGCTTTTATGCACATATTAAGTGATTTAATGGTTAATAAATGAATAGATAAATGAATTCAAGCTTGAACATGGCACAACCAACCTCTTTAATGTACTAAAATCCACTAAAATTTCAAGTTGAATAATAACTTAAAGTTGCACCATTCAATAAAAAAAATGCTTTTCTATATTTTTAAAAACTGTCACTCTCTCATTGTGGAATGATATATATATATATATATATATATATATATATATATATATATATATAATATATATATATATATATATATATATATATATATATATATATATAAGACAAGTTATATACTGCAGCTTTAGACTAGATCCTATCCTACCCTATAAAGCTAAACATATGACCATTTCTGATAAGAATTCTATTCAATTTCTGTTCTCATAACTTTCTGTGTCTATTAGGTATTTGACTCTTAACAACAAAGACTGGTTTTAACCCCACCTGATACTTAGCATTCTTCTGAAAATGCTCTTATTAGCAGTCATCAAAGAGACCTTTCATGATAACCCTCCTTCCTTTGTTTTCTGTAGATTATTCCCAGCTCTATGTCTTGAATTTTGTATAGGAACTTTGTTAGCTTTTATGCACATATTAAGTGATTTAATGGTTAATAAATGAATAGATAAATGAATTCAAGCTTGAACATGGCACAACCAACCTCTTTAATGTACTAAAATCCACTAAAATTTCAAGTTGAATAATAACTTAAAGTTGCACCATTCAATAAAAAAAATGCTTTTCTATATTTTTAAAAACTGTCACTCTCTCATTGTGGAATGATATATATATATATATATATATATATATATATATATATATATATATATATATATATATATATATATAAGACAAGTTATATACTGCAGCTTTAGACTAGATCCTATCCTACCCTATAAAGCTAAACATATGACCATTTCTGATAAGAATTCTATTCAATTTCTGTTCTCATAACTTTCTGTGTCTATTAGGTATTTGACTCTTAACAACAAAGACTGGTTTTAACCCCACCTGATACTTAGCATTCTTCTGAAAATGCTCTTATTAGCAGTCATCAAAGAGACCTTTCATGATAACCCTCTTTCCTTTGTTTTCTGTAGATTCTTCCCAGCTCTATGTCTTCCCTCTGCACAGGACTAAAAGAAAAGATCTCAATCCTATTGTCATTTGAGACTGTTTGTAAATCACATTTTGTGGGGAGTTTGGACATTATTCTACAACTTTCATTGGGATCAGTAAGTTTGAATGTCATGCTATTCTCCTGCATGGGAAAATGCAAATGTGAAGGAGTGAAAAGGTCTGTTTCTGTGGATTATGCCCCGGCTGCCCTTGTTGGCTCTCACCTCTCGCCCCTCCCTCCCTCATTTCTCCACACTGCGACGTGAGAGCTGAGCTTTACCTCGGTGCACTCCAGCCTCTCTACTTCTCAGGCTAGTTCACGCTCCACTGACCGGGGTGAGGGCTGCCTGGGCCGCATTATCAATTACCGGCCACAGGCACACTGTTCCTGACAGACCCTGGGGATGGGTGCTCCACTCAGAAATTCCTGCAGTGGGGAAAAAATGCCATGCAGGGAAGCTCTGTTTCTCTGACTGCAATTCAGTTCATGCTTTCAAGTGCATAAACAACGTCTTATTCATTAAGTGCTTCTTTTTATACATGTCTGGATTGAGCCTTGGTTAAATAAAACAAACTATAAGATGATGTTCACTAATTCACCTATTGCTTCCTACTTGTGGAATTTCAACAGCTAGTCAAAATTTTGCAAGGTTTATGTGCAACTGTAATCTTTTTAACAAGACCTTGTCAGATAGACATTCAGTTGCTAATTGGCAACAAAGAAAAAGGACATTTCTCTTTGTTAAAGAGGCAGTATTATGTTATTTTCTGGGCACATGCTGCCATTTTGTAGCACAATTACAATGCACAAGTCTGTTTATGCATATTTTATTAAAATGCTCTCTATATAAAACATAAGTTAAATAAAATTTGACTTCCCTGGTAGCAGAAAGCTATATCATGGATTCTGCCCACTTTGTTGATACAAGTAAAGTCTGTAAGTAAAGTCTGCAGTGCTCTTCATAGACTATGAACAACTCTATTGATCTGGGATTAAGTGTTTCACAAAGTTTACTTGTTTCATCTTTTATGCTTCTATTCATAAATTCATAGGTTATGTTATGTTACATTTTATAAATACGTCTGAGATTAAGAATATCAGAGAACTTTGATTTTCTGTTTATTCAGTATTTCAGTTTACACAATTTTTTTTTAAATATAATGAACTTGTTACAGAAAAATGGTAAGTCCTGTTCACCACAACCAATCAATTGATTGTTAGTAGATGAATACAATCAGTCAACTTTAGAATAACTGATTAATTGATCATTTGCACCCCTATTTCAAACACAAGAAAACTCTGGCAACCTTTGTGCAGATGTCTTTCCCCTTATTGATAGATTTCCTAAATTTATACAATAACTTTTCTAACATTTTTGAACTGCAGCCCTGAACAAAACTGACAAGATAGATTGCAAGTATTTTAATATAACCCTTTTAATCAACATAGATATCTTGTTAATGTTTCTTACATGAATAGAGCTAACCTACGTGTAACGAGCCTGTCAGAGACAATGTGTTGTGGTTGCATGAGGATGAGATCCAGCTCAATGAAGCTCTGCTGTCCTCTCCAAGTGCGTCCCCATTGTCACCCCGGGACAATGATGCTGACAGTGATTGGTGACTGGGTCCCAAGCTTCTCTTTCCACCCTCCGTCCCACCAATCCCTTGCTCCTTGTGTTCCACTTTTATCTGGCCCCACTTGCAGCCCCTGGCTTTTAATGCAGAGCTCGGCTCACCATTAATCAAAGTCAAAGCCTCCAAGTGTCTGACTTAGACAGAAAGACGGAAGAAGAAGAGGATGGAGAAAGATGGATCAAAAAAGATGGTGAAAGAATGAAAAAAACCCAGGTATTTACCTTTGAAGGTTTAATCAACTGTATAATACAGATGACAGGCCAACTTTATGTGCATCTGACATCAAACTAAACTTCTGTTGACATTATGGAAACCTTTCCGTGCAACTGCTATAATTTTAATTAACATCAAGGTTAC